CTGATCAAATTTGCAGATGACACCAAACTGGGAGGGGTGGCTAACACCCCAGAGGACAGGATCACACTTCAAAACGACCTTGACAGATTAGAGAACTGGGCCAAAACAAACAAGATGAATTTTAACAGGGAGAAATGTAAAGTATTGCACTTGGGCAAAAAAAAATGAGAGGCACAAATACAAGATGGGTGACACCTGGCTTGAGAGCAGTACATGTGAAAAGGATCTAGGAGTCTTGGTTGACCACAAACTTGACATGAGCCAACAGTGTGACGCGGCAGCTAAAAAGCCAGTGCAATTCTGGGCTGCATCAATAGGAGTATAGCATCTAGATCAAGGGAAGTAATAGTGCCACTGTATTCTGCTCTGGTCAGACCTCACCTGGAGTACTGTGTCCAGTTCTGGGCACCACAGTTCAAGAAGGACACTGACAAACTGGAACGTGTCCAGAGGAGGACAACCAAAATGGTCAAAGGCCTGGAAACGATGCCTTATGAGGAATGGCTAAGGGAGCTGGGCATGTTTAGCCTGGAGAAGAGGAGGTTAAGGGGTGATATGATAGCCATGTTCAAATATATAAAAGGATGTCACATAGAGGAGGGAGAAAGGTTGTTTTCTGCTGCTCCAGAGAAGCGGACACGGAGCAATGGATCCAAACTACAAGAAAGAAGATTCCACCTAAACCTTAGGAAGAACTTCCTGACAGTAAGAGCTGTTTGACAGTGGAATTTGCTGCCAAGGAGTGTGGTGGAGTCTCCTTCTTTGGAGGTCTTTAAGCAGAGGCTTGACAACCATATGTCAGGAGTGCTCTGATGGTGTTTCCTGCTTGGCAGGGGGTTGGACTCGATGGCCCTTGTGGTCTCTTCCAACTCTATGATTCTATGATTCTAAGTCATCAACACTTATACTGAGAGGTCCTGGTTGCTTAATTGTAAAATATGTTCAAAATTCTCCGTATGGTAACAGAATTTGGTACAAGTGAGCTAACAAAACTAAAACCAGGATACACAATCAGAAGAGTCATGTGGTATAGCTCTTCTTAGAGAGTACCACTTCAGGTTGCAAATGTGTCCTTATTTAAAAATAAGAACTTTGCACATAGGAAAGTAGCATGTTGGGAAAATGATACGCTAGCTTCCTCATCACCCTGTCGAGCTTTTGTTTTATGTGCATATTTTTTCTGTGTATGAGACAGCAGTATTCAAACTTGCAATCTCCCATCTGCAATGAAATGCTACAACCCTGCAAAAGCTGTCACAGCTGCAAAACCTTCTGTCTCTCTTCGCCCTCAAGCTCATCAGGGTAAAGTATTAATTAGCTAAGGAATTCTGGAATGATTTGCTCATTGTAGTAATTAATGACTTTGGTCTGCGGAAGCTCGTTAGTGAAACTGGCAATAGGATAGAAGGACATTCTGGATCCCTGTCGCCAAAGGGATGGCAGGAGGATTTGTGTGTGTGTGTGCCACCTTTTTTATTGTGCTAGGCTGCCTAAGATATCCTTATTATGCACAGTTTTGATGAAATGCCTTTCACTTTAAGTCTATTACTCTTCTAGAATCTGGCTAGTAACCTGCAAAAGAAGATAAGCCTCATTTATTGTTGAAACTGTTTGTCTGTGTACCTTAACTGAAGGAGGAGCAGTGCAATTCTGAGTTCTGTAGACGTTGTTATAATGTTATCCACTACAGTATCTTGTTTGTTGGCTAAGTAAGAAAGTGTATTTGGCATGTCACAGTGAGTTCTAGCATAGTGTTCATCCAGGTTTTGTGGTTTGTTTCTTCCACACACTAGTGAGGAGAAGCTGGGAGAAGCAAACTGGGCTTAATTTACTCATGCATTGCTAGCTATTGTCTGCAGCTTATTGTGACAGGCAAACACAGCCAGCTTACAAGGCGCAGGATTCAGCTTTTCTTAGTGCAGTTTTTGGATTTCTTAAGCACTTTTTAAAAAATGCAGCATCGCTTATACATCCCCTGTTATCAGTACTGATGGTAGGTAAATGCTTGGTCTTTTGATCTATAGCAACAGCATAGCAACTTGTGGGGGAGAGTTGGGAAATAGAGTAAACCCTAAGTATATGTGCAAAGCTTTCAGTCTGCACTCTGATACGTGTTGGGGGCATTCTGAGCACTGTGCAGATAGCTTTAGTTGATATTACTAGAACAAGGTTTGTTCATACCTGTCTGAAGTACACTCTGGTTAGAGCGCTCTTATAGCTGGAAAATAACTTGATGAGCTAATAAAATACCACCTGACTTAATTAGTTTTTTTCTCATCAAAGTTAATGAATACACAAGCTTTGAAGCAGTTTCTTTGGCAATAGTTTTAAAAGGGTGTGATATAGAGGCATAGCACAGAAGAGAGCACTGTGACTGTTAGTGACCGTAGGTACACACTGCTCAAGGAGCCATGTAGTTAAAGATCACTGATTAACCTTTTAAATGAAAAAAATCAATCTGCCTACTACTCACTCCAGTGAACTGCTGGTGGATTATTTTTCGTGTATTGACAACCCAAGATATCTTATATACAGCCTGCTGAGATATCGGCTTTTAAGCTTATGTATAATAACATGAGCTCTGAACCAGTTCCCAGTTCTTTGCTAGAGACTCTAGAATTTAAACTGGAACCTCATGGCCTGAAGGGAGGACCAGTACTAGTGGGCCCTGCAAAAAGGCCTTCCCACTTCAAAGCCAGGAGGAATCATGAGCTGCAATTTTTTGTCTATGTCCCATCAGCACAAAACTCTGTATACTTGTATGCATTTTGTAAGTAGTCCAAAATCAGAAAGTCAAAGAAAGTTATCACTTTCCTGTTTCCTATACAGTATCTTCATTACATGAAACAGCAGGTCTCCCAAGCAGTGAATCTCACACAGTACACTTTTTAGCCTACTTCCAAATAAATAACACCCGGATTTTATAACTATAAATCAGACCTCAACACTTCAAGAACTTTCTGTGGACAGAATCTTGAGATCAGAATCTTGAGGAAACTCAGCTGCGCCTCCTCTGGCCACAGAGTGTGACTGTGCAAGTCCTTTGAGCCATTACTTTAATCAGTGACCTCATTTTAAAGTGTGATGCTTTTGTAATAGACCTTCATTTCACAGCATGGAGAACTATCTGTAATGATGATAAAGTAAAGGGACCCCTGACCATTAGGTCCAGTCGTGCCCGACTCTGGGGTTGTGGCGCTCATCTCGCTTTATTGGCCGAGGGAGCCGGCGTACAGCTTCCGGGTCATGTGGCCAGCAGGACTAAGCCACTTCTGGCGAACCAGAGCAGCGCATGGAAATGCCGTATGGGGCACATTAAATACAATAGGCAGTTTCTTTACCTCTTAGTAGTGAAAACTGTCACAGAAAGGAAGGTTTCTGTTTACCAATCCACAAACCCTGTCTTCTGTTCTTTGGGTTTGACAATTTATGTTACATTAAATTTTCTGTATATTTAACTCTTAACCCATTAGAGCAGGTCAGTAGCCATCTCATCAGAATGCAAGGTCAAATTGATAGTCATAGTTGAAAAACCTACTTTAAGTGTGTTCAGTGGTTTTGGCATGCCCAGTTGAACTTTCACCACCTGGTGATGCCTTGTAGCTTTTGAAAGTCCCCTCAGTTTCAAAATCAGTTTGCAGTGTGGTACGGAGTGTGTGTGAGTCTAGCCTTCTGAGAAAAACAAGTCAAAGTCCTCCTGGGCACTCAGAACTAGTTATACCATTATTTTAGCTTCAGTATATCTCATATTTATTTTCATATATGGAATCCTTTCTACAGATATTTCTAGGCACCATTTCGAAATTCTTATTCAGTGGTGCATTTTTTCAACAAAAACCTGTAGAGTGATCCGTCTCTCTCTCTGTATGCATTTTCACATTTGCACTGCACTTTTTGAAATACTATAGTGTTGCTTGCCCAATTGTAATCAGTCATATAATGATTCATAATCTGTATCTTTTCTAGGAAGTTAGGGTCTTTAGGTAGATTAAGAATAAAATATAGCCTATCTCCTCAACATTAGGGCAGTGACTTCTCTGAATATTTGTTTGCTCATTGCAGGTTTATCTGGTAATGTTATTATTAGTTTAGTTTTGTGTTTTGTTTTTTGCCTTCTGTGTTTTTCATTAAGGGATTAGTGGCAGAAATAATAACTGAAGTTGGCAAGTATGCAGAGAAAGAAAATGTCATTTGCTTCATCCAAGTGTTCCTCTTCGTTTTCATTATACAAGTATGTTCTTAGGCTTTGTGCTGCCCAGAGTGGCTGGGCCCACCCACTCATGTGCAGCATGCATACAAACAAACAAACAAACAGTCTCCTTGGGTGCTTTGAATAGTGTAAAGGTGATTAATAAACTTTTAAAAATGTGATAAGGAGAAAACAAAACCAGGTGGTATAGTAGTAGGCAAACTGCTTGCCCGTTATCTTCTAACTGTATTGGGAGAGTGGAAAATGCCTCATCACCTTTAATACTGCAAGGAAAGCATAGGGTGGGGGTCGTTTTTTAAAATATGTTCATTTATAATTTTCAGTTATAACAAATAAACATTTTAATAAAGAAATTAAAAAATTCTCACATATCAAACTTCGACTTCCCTCCCCCTCTTTCAGCGGTTCAATGAATTTACCCTCTTCCCCCCTTCTGCATATCCCAGTTAACGCTATTTATTTTTTTACTCATCTATTTCATATATGTTTTAAAAACTGCAATAATCCTGCTAATGTCTTGATTTGTTTACAGTTTGTAAATATTCAGTAAATGATTTCCATTCCTTGATAAAAAGTCTGTTGTCTTGATTTCTTATTCTTCCAGTAAGTTTCGCCATTTCTGCATAGTGGATTAATTTCTCTAACCATTCTTCTTTCACCAGGACTTTTTCTTCTTCTTTACATTTTTGGGCAAATATCATTTTTGTGGCAGTGGTTGCATGCATAAATAAAATATTAGGGTCATTTTTTAAATGTTATCTATTTTTTTCAGAACTGCCATTAGTTATTCCTTCCAGTAGCACCTTAGAGACCAACTATGTTTGTTCTTCGTATGAGCTTTCGTGTGCATGCACACTTCTTCATGAAAGCTCATACCAATAACAAACTTAGTTGGTCTCTAAGGTGCTACTGGAAAGAATTTTTTTTATTTTGTTTCGACTACGGCAGACCAACACGGCCACCTACCAGTAACTGCCGTTAGTTACCGGTATGTGTCTCAAACAAACACTAATAAAACTGCAGACTATACCGAAACTATTCGCCAGAGCTCAGCAGAATGCATTCCAGGACTCAGAGGATGGGAGGAAATAAATGAAAATTGCTTTATTTCATCCTTAATTTAATAGCAAACATGGTTTACCATTAAATATGAACTATAGGTAAAGGTAAAGGTACCCCTGCCCATACGGGCGAGTCGTGTCCGACTCTAGGGTTGCGTGCTCATCTCGCTCTAGAGGCCGTGAGCCGGCACTGTCTGAAGACACTTCCAGGTCACGTGGCCAGCGTGACGAAGCTGCAGCTGGCGAGCCAGCACCAGCACAGCACACGGAAACGTCGTTTACCTTCCCACTATAAAGCGGTCCCTATTTATCTACTTGCATTTAAGAGTGCTTTCAAACTGCTAGGTGGGCAGGCGCTGGGACCGAACGACGGGAGCGCACCCCGCCGCGGGGATTCGAAGCGCCGACCATACGATCGGCAAGTCCTAGGCACTGAGGTTTTACCCACAGCGCCAACCGCGTCCCTTAAATATGAACTATATAGGCTGTGATTTGGAATTTCATTTGAACTGTCACCCTACAGTTATCAACTGAGACTGTTTACTGACAACTCTGGAAGAAAACCAGGACTGCTCGCCCCACCTATTATGCTAGCCCTGGTTCTACATTGGCATAGTCTCTGGCACCTTGTAGATTGAAAGAAGTACCTTCTTGTGTGCTTGTAATGTGGACAATGCCCCATCCCTTCTCCAAATTGCTGGTGGCAACGCTGTGCAATGTGTTCTTTTGCTGTGCTGTAACTTGTTCTGCATTTGATCTGGAGCAAGCTGTATTAGTAAACCAGTCATAACATTTCAGGTGCTTTTAAATGAATAAAAAGTTTAATTTTGTAATTGATCCGATTGTAGTCAGAGTAGCAGAAATGTATAAAAACCCTTCAGCAACGTTTACTCTTTGGTTAGGCTGTGAAGGAGAGGAAGGATGTCTAGAAACTAGAATTTCTAGTTTCTTTGCGTGTAAGTCCCATTGCAAAGAAGTCAAGGTTCATCCCCAAAGGAGAGAAATGATTTATTAGGTTTGGATAATAAGTTCAGCTTGTAAAAATGCGTGCACAATTCAAAATAACAGTTCTCTCTGTGAGCTATGGAATACTCTGCCTTTTAATCTCCATCAAAGCTGGAAGGGAGAAAATAATATTTCTGGCATAAAATCAAAGGGGTTTCATAGCTGCAGCTCCTATTGAAGGAGGGCTAATAAGGAAATGACCCAGAGACAGCATATAAGGAAGCAAAACAGAAGGTTGCACAGCTTGAATAAAGCAGCATCTTTTAATATTTGAAGTGTGTTGTTTTTTGCAAGCAAGTCATGACCTTTTCGGACTAAAGACAATTTAAAACTACTGTTGTTTCAGGTGTAAGCATGCTTTGCTTAGGTGCAATTTTCTCACTGTGCAATGATGTTGTGATACAGAGAGGCAGAAGAAAACCTGACGGGTTTATAAAAAATATTTTCTTACAGACTCTTTATTTTTGCCTCTGATTATTATATCATAGCATACATAAGCCTTATCTGTCAAGGGCTAGCCCAAATATAAACAACAGTACTGCACTGGGGATGTGTATATGGTGTGGGGGGGGTGGATATAGAAATACTAAAATTAAAAGTTGAAATGTGTGTGAGAAAGTTGCATTTGCAAGTGAACCATGAGAGAAAGAATGAAATGTATACAGGAGCTATTGCTATAACTGATAAGGACAAAGGGAGAGGGTGAAAGCTGCTATGCCTCAGGATTAAACTATCCATCATCATCATCATCATCATTTTTTTTGTATGCCGCCTTTCCATAGTTAAAACCTTGCTGAAGACAACTTACAAGATTACAGTCTTGTCCCACTATAAAACCAAGAGCCCAGGTGCTTGCAGACCACTTTTCAAACGGATTCTCTTTCAGAGATGACTCATCATTCTCCTTGCCATGTGTGCAGATAATCAGCAAACCACAGTAAAACTTGAGGGGACATGTTCGTGCTTTTTGAGTCTGTGAAGTGATGGACTGTACTTCGAAGTCATAACTCTTTCCCCAACAATCGGTGTAGTGGAAAATACAAGGACCATGTATCCATTCTGTTCAAATGATTTGTTCCGTTAGGAGGAAGGGAGGAGGAATCTTCTGTATGTTTTTATATTATAACATGATCTGAAGCAGGCAGGTGTTGTCCAACGAAGCTTTTCTGGACAAATAACAGTTCATGCAAATGCTTAACTTGTACAATCAGTGCAATTTCAAGAGATTCTTCCTCCTCTCAGAAGAGACAGTTTTCTGTGAGTTCTCACCTACAGTGTTTGAAGTAGCACTTGACATTTCCCAGTTGCTACCATTAGCTGCTGGATCCATACATGAAACCTAAACTTCTAGAGGAAGCCATGATCCACCCTGGCTGTGGAGACAAAATGAAAGTTGTACACACGAGAGAAAATTAGCCTACAAGCCCCTGTATGAATAACAATAGAAAATACCAGCCTCCTCAGCTGAGGAATTCTATTCCCAGTGAAGGCTTGCCAAAGTCAAATTCAAGTGAAAGAGCAGCTGTTATCGTCATAGACATGTTCCAGGCAATAATTGCAAACCTCATGGTTCACTGCTTACAAATTGTGATTCACATGCAAGCAGTTTTTGGTGTCTGTTGGTTTGCTCCATGACAATCTTATTTGAACTGTACTCACGGTCTTCTGGAAGAAACATAAAACTATGGCTCTACACGGCAAGGAATAAGCTGGCACTGACATAGGTTTTTAGGTATCTTGTGTGGAGGGGTTTTGTTTTCAGTATGTTATCTGCTTCTTAGGGATGGGAGAGGCTGGAGATTGAACTTTATAGATGTACAAGGATGAAGGCACTTTAGGGATTTTGCTGCTTATAGAAGAACACAAGCTGTGTTCTTTTTCATTTAGCTTTATGAAACTTGTTATTAAATGTGAATAGCAAATCACTGACCATAGAAGATACACTTCCTCTTCCACTTCTCCCTACTTTTGCCAAGCCAATGTTTGCATTTGGCTTGGTAAACACTGTTTTTGCTTATAAATATAATATTAAGTCTGTCAGGTTAGCTGTGATTAATTATTAGCCAAAGAGTGACGGAAAAGAAAGCAGAGGCTCGGGACCAAGATGAGTAGAGTTCTGAATAGTTTGAGATAGTAAACCCAGAAGGAAGATTATGCCTCTACATGTTGCTCACAGAGCAAGCTCTGACGCAGATATAGGTGGTTTGATGTCCTGCTGTGTTTGCATTTTGAATTGAGAGCCTCCCATAACTTTGCACAAGAGTGTGCTTAGGTGATGTTTGAACAGGAAATTGTAATGTACAGAACACCTCAATTCTGAATAAAAAGGAAATGAATCACAGGTTCATCGTCATTCTTGTGTTACCAGCTCAATCGCATGTCAAGCCCCCAGGCCCTGCAGTTCCCTTTGATAATAAACACACAGACTCAAATTTTAAGGTTTATGGGATAAAATAGGCCACAACTTTATCAGTTACAGATGTGAGCAGTTTGCCTTCGGCATTCATAGAATCATAGAGTTGGAAGAGACCCCAAGGGCCATCGAGTCCAACCCCCTGCCAAGCAGGAAACACCATCAGAGCACTCCTGACATATGGTTGTCAAGCCTCTGCTTAAAGACCTCCAAAGAAGGAGACTCCACCACACTCCTTGGCAGCAAATTCCACTGTCGAACAGCTCTTACTGTCAGGAAGTTCTTCCTAATGTTTAGGTGGAATCTTCTTTCTTGGAGTTTGGATCCATTGCTCCGTGTCCGCTTCTCTGGAGCAGCAGAAAACAACCTTTCTCCCTCCTCTATGTGACATCCTTTTATATATTTGAACATGGCTATCATATCACCCCTTAACCTCCTCTTCTCCAGGCTAAACATGCCCAGCTCCCTTAGCCGTTCCTCATAAGGCATCGTTTCCAGGCCTTTGACCATTTTGGTTGCCCTCCTCTGGACACGTTCCAGTTTGTCAGTGTCCTTCTTGAACTGTGGTGCCCAGAACTGGACACAGTACTCCAGGTGAGGTCTGACCAGAGCAGAACACAGTGGCACTATTACTTCCCTTGATCTAGATGCTATACTCCTATTGATGCAGCCCAGAATTGCATTGGCTTTTTTAGCTGCCGCGTCACACTGTTGGCTCATGTCAAGTTTGTGGTCAACCAAGACTCCTAGATCCTTTTCACATGTACTTTTCACATTGGGTGAAGCCAGACTATATCTCAACTCCCGCCTGTCTGCAGGGAGTCCAACTAAGGGTAAACCACCAGTAGGAGGAGCCCTGTGACTTACATCAGATGAGGGGTCCCTGTTGGGGTTGTGGCATGGCCCTAGCCCACATCCAGGCATCGGACAGGATCCACACCCACACACCCCACATCCCTTTAACAGGATGCCCTTATTGAGGAGGGGCAGGCGGAGGCTACAACCTCCCCACCATTAAACAAAGGCTTACCCAATGCCTAACCGCCACTCAAGCCCAAATGGCTTGCTGCCAACACCCTCTTGCCTGCAGCCAATCTCTGATGCCATCTCCAGTATCATTCACCTGGGTATTATTTCCAACATCAGAGAGATGAATGCCATTGGAACAAAGCCTCCTGGTTGAAAGTGGTGGCAGGGTGTCGTATCACATGGCCATTCAAACGCTGCATCTTCTGTGCGACTGCACGGTTAGCTTTCTAGCACTATTGATTGCTACCAGGTAAGGACAGTCACACCAACAATGCCTCTCCAAAACCTGGGACCAGAATAAGGTTAAGTCTGGGTATAGGGCAGCAAGCTTGTCAAAGTCCTCTTTGAAGTTCCAGCTGAACAACCAATGCATCGGGGGCCCATGCAGTGCGGCTCTGGCCATCACAA